GTCTCTCCCCGTCCGTCCCCAGTCTCTCCCCGTCCTACCCGTGCCCGCAGCAGCCGCTCACACTCTGCCAGCGCCTTCCGCACCCGATGCTGCATCTCGGCCAGGTGGAGGCAAGCGCTGGAGGGGGGGGAATAAATTGGGGGGGGTCAATTTGGGGGGGGTCTGGGGGCATTTTGGGGGTTGGGGGCGCATTTAGGGGGCGGAGGGGACTGGTTCTCACCTGTAGGACTCGGCGTCGAGCCCCCCCGGGGGCAGCTGCAGGGCCAGGATGCCTGCGGGGGTGCGGGGGGGGGCATGTCAGCACCCCCCAGACCGAAACCCCAAAACCGCTGCCGTTGACCCCAAAACCGCCGCCGTTGACCCCAAGGTGGCCGCTAGTGACGCCGGTAGGGCCACCGGGCGCCCCGCGGGCCACAAGTACCCAACCCCAACCCCCAAACCCCCTAACCCTAACCCCCCAACCCTAACCCCCGACCCCCCAACCGATCTAACCCTAACCCTAACCCTCTAACCCTAACCCCCCAACCCTAACCCCCTAACCCTATCGGATCTAACCCTAACCCCCCAACCCTAACAGATCTAACCCTAATCCTCTAACCCTAACCCCCCATCCTAACCCCCCAAGTACCCAACCCCAACCCCCAAACCCCCTAACCCTAACCCCCCAACCCCCTAACCCCCAACCCTAACCCCCTAACCCTAACGGATCTAACCCTAATCCTCTAACCCCCTAACCCTAACGGATCTAACCCTAACCCTCTAACCCTAACCCCCCCAACCCCCTAACCCCCCAACCCTAACGGATCTAACCCTAACCCTCTAACCCTAACGCCCAAACCCCCTAACCCTAACGGATCTAAGCCTAACCCTAACCCCCCAACCCTAACCCCCGACTCCCCAACCATAACCCCCTAACCCTAATGGATCTAACCCTAACCCTAACCCCCCAACCCCCCAACCCTAACCCCCTAACCCTAACGGATCTAACCCTAACCCTCTAACCCTAACCCCCCAACCCCCTAACCCCCCAACCCTAACGGATCTAACCCTAACCCCCCAACCCTAATAGATCTAACCCTAACCCTAATCCTCTAACCCTAACCCCCTAACCCCCCAAGTACCCAACCCCAACCCCCAAACCCCCTAACCCTAAGCCCCCAACCCCCCAACCCTAAACCCCCAACCCTAACGGATCTAACCCTAACCCTAACCCTCTAACCCTAACCCCCTAACCCTCTAACCCCCCAACCCTAACCCCCTAACCCTAACGGATCTAACCCTAACCCCCCAACCCTAATTGATCTAACCCTAACCCTAATCCTCTAACCCTAACCCCCCAAGCCCTAACCCCCAACCCTAACCCCGAACCCCAACCCTAACCCCCTAACCCTAACGGATCTAACCCTAACCCCCCAACCCTAACAGATCTAACCCTAATCCTCTAACCCTAACCCCCCATCCTAACCCCCCCAACACCTAACCCCAACCCCCAAACCCCCTAACCCTAACCCCCCAACCCCCTAACCCCCAACCCTAACGGATCTAACCCTAATCCTCTAACCCTAACGCCCAAACCCCCTAACCCCCTAACCCTAACGGATCTAAGCCTAACCCTAACCCTCTATCCATAACCCCCCCAACCCCCTAACCCCCCCAACCCTAACGGATCTAACCCTAACCCCCCAACCCTAATAGATCTAACCCTAACCCTAATCCTCTAACCCTAACCCCCCAACCCCTAACCCCCCAAGTACCCAACCCCAACCCCCAAACCCCCTAACCCTAACCCCCCAACCCCCTAACCCCCCAACCCTAAACCCCCAACCCTAACCCCCGAACCCCAACCCTAACCCCCTAACCCTAACGGATCTAACCCTAACCCTAACCCCATGGACCCCCCTGGTGCGCCCCGCAAATGCGTCCCCCCGGCAACAGCACCCCGCAAACTTGGTTCCCCCCTCATTTTGGTTCCCCCCGGTGCGCCCCACAAATGTGTCCCCCCGGAAACAAAACCCCGCACACTTGGTTCCCGTGTCCTTTTGGTTCCCCCCCCCCCCCCCGGTGCGCCCCACAAATGTGTCCCCCCGGAAACAAAACCCCGCACACTTGTTTCCCCCCTCCTTTTGGTTCCCCCCCCCCCCCCCCCGGTGCGCCCCACAAATGTGTCCCCCCGGAAACAGCACCCCGCACACTTGGTTCCCCCCTCATTTTGGTTCCCCCCCCTTCCACCCCCCCGTTGGGGTCCCCCCCTAGCCCCATGGTCCCCCCCCCCGGTGCGCCCCGCAAATGCTTCCCCCCGGCAATCGCACCCCGCAAACTTGGTTCCCCCCCACCCTTGGGGTCCCCCCAAGCCCCATGGACCCCCGCCCCCTTGGTGCCCCCCCCCCAATTTGTCTCTCCCCCCGTCCTACCCGTGCCCGCAGCAGCCGCTCACACTCTGCCAGCGCCTTCTGCACCCGATGCTGCATCTCGGCCAGGTGGAGGCAAGCGCTGGAGGGGGGGGAATAAATTGGGGGGGGTCAATTTGGGGGGGGTCTGGGGGCGCATTTAGGGGGCGGAGGGGACTGGTTCTCACCTGTAGGACTCGGCGTCGAGCCCCCCCGGGGGCAGCTGCAGGGCCAGGATGCCTGCGGGGGTGCGGGGGGGGGCATGTCAGCACCCCCCAGACCGAAACCCCAAAACCGCTGCCGTTGACCCCAAAACCGCCGCCGTTGACCCCAAGGTGGCCGCTAGTGACGCCGGTAGGGCCACCGGGCGCCCCGCGGGCCACAAGTACCCAACCCCAACCCCCAAACCCCCTAACCCTAACCCCCCAACCCTAACCCCCGACCCCCCAACCGATCTAACCCTAACCCTAACCCTCTAACCCTAACCCCCCAACCCTAACCCCCTAACCCTAACGGATCTAACCCTAACCCCCCAACCCTAACAGATCTAACCCTAATCCTCTAACCCTAACCCCCCATCCTAACCCCCCAAGTACCCAACCCCAACCCCCAAACCCCCTAACCCTAACCCCCCAACCCCCTAACCCCCAACCCTAACCCCCTAACCCTAACGGATCTAACCCTAATCCTCTAACCCCCTAACCCTAACGGATCTAACCCTAACCCTAACCCTCTAACCCTAACCCCCCCAACCCCCTAACCCCCCAACCCTAACGGATCTAACCCTAACCCTCTAACCCTAACGCCCAAACCCCCTAACCCTAACGGATCTAAGCCTAACCCTAACCCCCCAACCCTAACCCCCGACTCCCCAACCATAACCCCCTAACCCTAATGGATCTAACCCTAACTCTAACCCCCCAACCCCCTAACCCCCCAACCCTAAACCCCCAACCCTAACCCCCGACCCCCCAACCCTAACGGATCTAACCCTAACCCTAATCCTCTAACCCTAACCCCCAAACCCCTAACCCCCCAAGTACCCAACCCCAACCCCCTAACCCTAACCCCCCAACACCCTAACCCCCGACCCCCCAACCCTAACCCCCTAACCCTAACGGATGTAACCCTAACCCTCTAACCCCCGACCCCCCAACCCTAACCCCCCAAACCTAACGGATCTAACCCCAACTCTAACCCTAACCCCCCTAACCCCTGACCCCCCAACCCCCCTTACCCCCAACCCCCACCCGGCATGCTCTGGGCACCAAACATGGCCTCCTGGAAGCCCGGTGCCGGAAAACTACGCCTACCAGCATTCCCCAGACAGCTGGCTTGACCCATCACAGGCCCAGTGTTCGAGAACTACATTTACCAGCACTCACTGGAACCCAAGCACTTACCGCCCTTTCAAAAAAGCCTCAAGCCCTAACACTAAAAAACTTCGAAACCCCTACAGGCCTAATCCAAACTGTTTACCACACTAAACCCCTGAAGTCCTATGCCTAAAAGCCCTTAGGGCACTTAGGACGCTCAAAACCCAAACCCAAAGCAATAGGATTCTCAAAGCCCTAAACAACAAAATTAGGACGCTTAAAGCCGTAACCCCAAAATTAAGATGCTCAAAACACAAAGCCAACCCAAAACACTAGGATGCTCAAAACCCTCACTCAAAACATCAGGACGCTCAAAACTCTAACCCAAAAATTAAGATGCTTAACACCCAAAGCCCTAACACAAAACATTAGGACGCTCAACACCGTAACCCAAAAAATTAGGACGCTCGAAACTCTAACCCTGGAGAACCTAACCTGAAAAAAAAAAAAAAAAAAAAGAAAAAAGGATCTTAACACACTAACCCTAAATAACTGACCAAAAATAAAACCCTAGGACCCTAACCCTAAAAAACATAGCAACACTCCATCCCAAAAAAAACTCTAAAACCCTAACACGCTAACCCTGAAACCCTTAAAACCCTGTTAAAACTCCAACCCAGTTATACACCAGTTGCCTCCCTTAAAGGATACAGAGTAGCTCTCTCAAATACGGCAGTCCTACTTCTCATGAACGCAGCCGGAGGTCGGTCTCATTCTGGTGCTCATGGTGGTGGAAGCAGGGGCAACGGTGGTACTGCTGGAGATACCACAGCCACCTGTGGTGGTTTTACCGTGCTGGGCAGCTAAACCCCACAACCGCTCTCTCACTCCCCCTCCTTTAGATGAGGAGGGGGAGAAGTAAAGCAAAGAACAACTCACGGGTTGAGATAAGGATAATTTAATTAAAGGGAAATAACTATAATAATTAAATAAAGACTACCATGAACTAAACAATTTAACTAAGGGGAAATAAAAAGGGAAAGGGGAAAAGGGAGGAGAAAAGGGAAAATAAAAAGAAGGGACGAAAACAAACAAACAAAATAAATGAAAGCTATATGGAAGTGTAGAGGAAATAAATTACTCTCTACTTCCCACAAATGAGCGATGATTGACCACGTCCTTGAAGCAAGGCCTCAACGCACGCAGCCGGTGTTCGAGAGGAGGACCGACGTCTTCTCAACGAGAGCCCACCCCTCCCCTCTTCTTCCTGTTTCCACCTTTTATTGCTGAGTGTGACATCGCATGGTATGGAATATCCCTTGGATTGGTTTAGGTCAGCTGCCCTAGTGATGTTTCTCTCCTCGCTTTTTGCCCATCCCCTAGGAGGGTTAGAGAAAGGCCCAGTACTGTGTCTACTGCTGAGCAGCAGTGGCACAACACTGGTGTGATAACACTGCTGTTCCAGCTACAAGTACAGAGTACGGCACTGTATGGGCTGCTGCCGGGAAAGTTAACGTTCCAGCCAGACCCAGTACACCACTGGAGGTGGATTGTTAGGATATGGAGATGGTAGGTTATCCAACGGCTCCCGTTTATTATCTTTTTATTTTTCCCGTTCTTCTTCAAAATTTCTTACCTGCTTTTAGTGTAAATATTAAGGCTGTAAAAGGACATGAAGTCCTCCTGATCCGTAATCCTGCATAATCACTTTCGTCCCGGCAAAAAGGTTCCTTCGAATTAACATGTGTATTTAAGGCCTGACAAATACAGTCTTCAAAGGATCTAAAAACGGGCCGAAAGACATGCGGTCTTAAAGGCTCCTTTGGCCATTCTATCACACAATACTGGACCCTTTTTTATTTACTTTTTACATTTCTGGGGCCTCTCTCATTCCAGTTTCTAACCGTTATTCCTAATGGACTTTCTGGTGGTATGTCTGCTAATTTGCTCCCTTTCTTCTGGTCCCTGGTCTTTGGTTTTGTCTCACCCATCTAGGAATGTTACTGTGGCAATTCCCACAGCCCTTGGTTACCTTAATAAGAGTGTCTTAAAGAGGATTTAAGATCTATCACCCACCCACAAATCCTATAGGAATCCCTTCGGTCCTTCACCGGCCAAGTCCCTCGCGGGAGATTGGAACCGTGGTAAAGAAAACCTCCACAATCGCTTCGGAACTAAATTCCGTCTCAGTCACACTCTTACACACACAGGCAACCGGAACCCATCCAACAGAACAGTATAGGCTTTAAACACTTACGACTCTGTTGTCTTCATTCAGATCTTCACACGCAGAATTACAGGCAAAATATAGTGCTGCTGCCAGCAAGGGAGCTGAAAAAAAATCAAAACCTTAGCTTACCTTTATTCAGGTTCGAGACGCTATTAGTCCCGACCAGACTCAAACAGCAGCCACCAAATGCTGGGGCGCCTCTCCTAGATCAAATAAGAATTCAGGAACCAAAGCCCTCCCGGACAAGCACCCTGGTGTCATATACGACTGGGTCCCAAATTGGATTGCAATTAAATTTTACAGTTTATTAAATGAATAGAGGTAAGCAAGCAGTTGCTTGCAAACAGATATACTGTGCCAGATGCCCTTCAGCAAGTGCCCAGAGGCAGACAGGATGTCTTCGCCAAAACAGTCCAGACAATGTATTAGTACACCCATGCACTGCCACGTTAGCTGTCATCACTAACTGTCAGGCAGGACAGCTCCAGACCAAACACATACACACACAGGCACGCCACAAACGCTACAACCAAAACACACAACACTAGGCGCAAGAAAAAGTGAACCCCAGAGGGAAGACCTATGGACACAGCAAGTCAGAACAGGTGCTCTGCAGCAGACCCCAGGAGAGACTCAAATGTCACAACATGCAACTGGAAGCAACTGCCAGAACTAGGATGATGGAGGCCTAAAAAGCCTGCCTTCAAGACAAGAGACCAGAAGGATGGGGACTGAAACCCCCCTAAGAAGACGCTTAGGAAATCAATTCCCAAGCAAGAGCTCCTGATGCGACCCAGATGACTTCTGCAAGAGTGAGGATGAAAACAGATGCGATCTCAAACCGAGTAGATGCACAAGACCTTAAACAGGCCTGCTCTTTAAGCAGCGACTTACAGACAAAAAGTGCTCAGATCAGAGTCACGATGACAAAACAAGCATTGAGGCCCTTCAGCACCGCTACTAAGTCACCTGTCTGGTCAGTCCGGTCTAAAAAGCCAGGAGGATATCAAGACCCGAGAAGCACAGAACAGACAATGCAGAAGCAACAATACAGGACAGACGAACAGAAGGAAACTGTCCTGCCTGGCGCACGCACTCATGCTACAAAATAATCCTGCCTCTTCTATTAGCCTGGTGACCCAGCCACAACCAGCCTGAACGTGACCCAGCCTCAACCACCCTCACAGTGGCACCAAGTCTATTCAGCCAGCACGCTCCATGCTGCTCTGGCTCCCAGCTCCCATTAGCCACCCCACATATGCAAATACCAGGTGCCCCCCAACTTAGCTCTCAGGTTGCTGCATGGTAAAGTCCCTCCGCCTCAAGAAATACACAGGCACTGATTGTCATCTTAGTCAATTGCCAGGCTCATCATCAGCTGCAAAAACAGAAACAGCATTCACTAGGACGCCAGCCCCATTGCTCTCCTTCTCCACAATGCTGACTACTGCTGATGCAACATACGATTGTGCTCACGTGTTCCTCTCCGAGTCCAAGCTCCAACAGTGCAGCCAGTATCATCCACACCACCTGGGAAAACAAAGGGATTAAATGATCGTTGCGTTCACAACAAGTCAGCCAATTGTGTTTTTTTGTTTGTTTGTTTTTTGTGTGTGTGTGTTTCCTGTTTTTGGTTGTTTTTTTTTTTTTTTTTAATCTGTTTTAGCTAAACAATATGCAGAGAGCAGACAAGAGAGCTGGGGTGTTTCTAGAAGCAACAATCCCCAGGCTTTTGCTGCAGCTTTTAACATTGGAAGGGCAACACAACCATTCAAGTAACTGGAACTTTTTCAAACGGAATTATGTCACACAGGTTCATCATCACTTGCAAAAACACAGAACCAGCATTCACTAGCACGCCAGCCCTGACACCCATCTCCTCCACAACACTTACTACTACTGATGCAACATGCTACTGTGAAATACCTCTGTGTTCCCAGCTCCTTTACCTCACCTGCTCAGTAGCTCCACATGAGAAATGGGCCCGGGTGGCACCGCGCCAAAATGGGCCCGGGCGGACTTATTCTGCAGAGAAGAAGAAGGTGAGCCTGCTCACTCTCTAGGCACTACTGCACTTACGCGGCCAAGGAACTGTGGCCCACGGTTTCCCAAAACCAATGTACCTGGCAACCCCTCATAAACATACTTGTAATATGTCAATTCAAGGACATCAAGACTAGAAGGCTGCAAGGTCTAAACACTCGACAGACAGAAAACCCACAGGCAAAAGCTCCAGAAATATAACAACCTGTCCCTAAACTTGAAACAGACTACCGCTTACATGCCCACTGCTGCCATTTTCAGATACACGCTCACACAGGGAGCCTCCATCATACATTTCTCCTAAACCCTGCTGCATCACTTTGACAGCAAGGTTATTACTTTGATAAGATTTGACATAGATGCAAAGGCTCACAAAAAGCCCCGTAATTCTGCAAAAATCAGAAGGGACCCAGAACCACAAAGCAAACACACAAAGTAACATCACCATACTATCAGTAAAACTGCCATAACAACTACTCACCTGAGGAAGAGCTGTGTGCTACACAGGCACCTACTACTAGATTCCTTTACTATGACAGATCCTACCAGTTTTCACCTCAAAAACGTAGGAGTACCAGTTTCTACTTCAAAATGCATCAGTCCATACACTCTGACCCGCCTAAAGAACCCTGCAAGCAACTGAAGGAAAAACAAAGCACTTACCCAAAACTGCAGCCCAGGCAGAAGGAGCTCTCTGACGGCATACCTGCAACTCAGTTACCATTAGGTCCCACCTGGAACCTAAAGCCAATCATGTGGGAAAGTGCAGGGGGAAAGCACAAAAAAAGCAGAAAGAGGAGGAGCAGCAGCTGTGGTTTCTTTATTCATTTATATGGCTTAGCTCAACAGCATGCAGAGTGCAGACAGGAGAACTGGGGTGTTTCTAGAAGCAACAATCCCCATGCTTTCGCTGCAGCTTTGAATATTGAAAGGACAATACTACCACGCAAGTAAATGAAGCTTTTTAAGCTCAAATTAGCTCAAACTTTTATTTACACAGGAAGAAAACCCTAGGAGCAGAACAGATTACGCGCCAAAGAAGAATTCAATTCCATTCCACTCACAGGAAAAATCACTTACTTCAGTAGGCTATCTGAAAACCAAAAGGCTATGCTGATGGCTCAAAACACACTACAGGACACTGGGGCCAGGCCCTCCGCTGCACCCACTTAAAACCCATCCCTACACTCACCAAGGTGCAACCCCAACCCAAACACAGACGCAGCATTTCAGCTTCAACACAGTTTTCAGAACTGCTGGAAATCAAGCTTCATACTCAGCAAGGCGTGCTCAGGCTGCACAAGACAGGGCTTCGGGCACCTCTTTGCCTACCAAAAGACAGCCATCAGCACCTGCTTTGTTCCGATTCTAAAGACTAACATCACAGCCCACATTGCCTGGGACACCTGATAAACAGAAGAGAAAGCAGCCATACCGTTTTCAAGCCATCCCTGCACGTGTCGCTCCTTGATCATCTGCAACCTCTTCTCCAATCCTCAACCGCTTCTGTGGAGAGCCTGCCACGGCACCTGCAAAGCAAGATGGATACCCTTCGCACTCACCTCGTGCTACTTGGCAGTTCTGCTCCAATCCAGCTCACAACCAGCCTGCCCTTCTCGTGCTGCTCTTCAGAGTGCAGCTTGGCCCCTCTGAGCCTGTGTGAGACAAATGTGAAACAAAAAGAAAAGCGTAGGCTGAAGCAGCATCCAAAGCCACAGCACAGCTGGGACAGTTACTCTCATCTGCTCCCTTACCTCGGCCCCCTCACCTGCCCTCAAGGCAGACGCTTCCATCTGCTCTCTTAGGCCAGCTACAACACCCCTGAAATATAAACAGGATTTTTACTGTATTTTGTGTAGTTAACTAACTGCAGTGACAACTGCACCCCTAAAGTACCTGCTACATCTGTCCATCGCTCACCTTGCAAAAAGCAGCTCCGGTTAAGTCCCGTGTTGTACACTGTGTTTCACCTTAAACAAATGAAAACAGTCACAAGATAATCATTCAGCTGCCAGCATTAGTACCCATCCCTCAACAACACAAAGGGACCCCACTTACAATATTATCGTTTCAAAACAGCAGCCCCCTTGCCTCAGCACCTCAGAAGTAGATCAAACCAGTCACCGAGCGCTGAACAGTTCCAGAAGGAGCTCTTTCCGTGAAAGGTTCCTCCAAAGGTTTACACTCTACTGGGGACAGAATAGAAAATAAAAGATTCAAAACCCCATATCTGTAAGCTTTCAAGATTCAACAGACCTCCTCAAGCACACCGTTCAAGCACTATGCAAACAGCTGCTCACAAGCAGATATACTCTCCCAAATCCACAGCGGCCAACCACCAGACATGACTGTGCCAGCTGCCCTTCAGTACGTGCCCAGAGGCAGACCGGATGTCTTCGCCAACACAGTCCATACAATGTATTAGTACACCCATGCACTGCCACGTTACCTGTCATCACTAACTGCCAGGCAGGACAGCTCCAGACCAAACACGTACACGCACACAGGCACGCCACAAACACTACAAACAAAACACACAACACAAGGCACAAGAAAAAGTGACCCCCAGGGGAAAGCCCTACAGCAACAGCAAGTCAGATACAGGCGCTCTGCACCAGACCCCAGGAGAGACTCAAATGTCACAACATGCAACTGGAAGCAACTGCCAGAACTAGGATGATGGAGGCCTAAAAAGCCTGCCTTCAAGACAAGAGACCAGAAGGATGGGGACTGAAAACCCCCTAAGACGACGCTTAGGAAATCAATTCCCAAGCAAGAGCTCCTGATGCGGCCCAGATGACTTCTGCAAGAGTGAGGATGGAAACAGATGCGATCTCAAACCGAGTATGATGCACAATACCTGAAACAGGCCTGCTCTTTAAGCAGTGACTGCAAGACACGAAGCGCTCGGATCAGAGTCATGATGACAAAACAAGCATTGAGGCCCTTCAGCACAGCTACCAAGTCGCCTATCTGGTCAGTCCGGTCTAAAAAGCCAGGAGGATATCAAGACCCGAGAAGCACAGAACAGACGCTGCAGAAGCAAACAGGATAGACGAACAGAAGGAAACTGTCCAGCCTGGCGCACGCACTCACACTACAAAATAATCCTGCCTCTTCTATTAGCCTGGTGACCCAGCCACAAGCACCCTGAACGTGACCCAGCCTCAACCACCCCTCACAGTGGCACCAAGTCTATTCAGCCAGCTGGCTCCATACTGCTCTGGCTCCCAGCTCCCATTAGCCACCCCACATATGCAAATACCAGGCGCCCCCCAACTTAGCTCTCAGGTTGCTGCATGGTAAATTTCCTCCGCCTCAAGAAATGCACAGGCACTGATTGTCATCTTAGTCAATTGAAGGCTCATCATCAGCTGCAAAAACAGAGTACCAGCATTCACTAGCACGCCAGCCATGATGGCCACCTGCTCCACAATGCTGACTACTGCTGATGCAATATACGGTTCTGCTCACCTCTTCCTTTCCGAATCCAAGCTCCAACAGTGCAGCCAGTATCATCCACACCACCTGGGAAAACAAAGGGATTAAATGATCGTTGCATTCAGAACAAATAACCCAATCGTGACTTCTTTTTGTTGTTGTTTGTGTGTGTGTTTCTTGTTTCTTTGTAGTTTTTTGGTTTTTTTTAAAACCTGCTTTAGCTCAACAGCATGCAGACAAGAGAACTGGGGTGTTTCTAGAAGGAACAATCCCCATGCTTTTGCTGCAGCTTTTAATATTAAATGGACAATACGACCCAGCAATTAACTGGAACTTTCTTAACTGCAAATAGCTCAAACATTTTTTTAGTTTTTTACGTAGAAAGAAAGATCTAGGAGCAGAAGACATCAAACGCCAAAACAATCAAACACCAAACAACCTTCCCTTCGGATAAGCGATGACCAGGCTGACAACACTCACCTTCCCTCAGTGCTTCATGACATGAGGATTTCCCTTCACTGTCCACAACTGCACAAAGCACCTGCAAAGACAGGAGAAAAGCACACTCTGAGGCACCTCACAGCCACAGCGTACCTGCTGCAATGCCTCTCTCTTCCCAGCTCCGGTACTTCAGCTGCTCACCAGCTCTAACTCAGATTCTTCACTCACAGCACCACAGCAAGCTGCACCCGGGCCGCACAACACACACTACACAAGCTACATTGCCCAACACACACAAGCTGGTACATTCCCACCCAACAATCAGTCGCATCGCACAGGAAGGATGCCGCACACTCCTAGAAACCAAACCTACCAGTCCTGAGCAGCTCCCCACATCCTCCTGCCAACCACGCTCAGCACACACACTACTCACCCCTCAAATAAAACAAGAAGTTAGAACATACGCACACACACAAAAAAAAAAAACAACCAAGCTCCACAAATGCCAAAAAGACATGCACACAGAGCAGCCCCGGCAGGGGTAATCACAGACTTACCCTTTGCAGATAAAAAAGGTGACTCTGATACAACTCTGCTCAGTCTCTTGGCAATGCTGCATCTACGCTGTCAAGCCACAGGTACCATGCAATCAAGCTGGTTTTAGCCCTCTGGAGAGTTACACAAGTGGGTTTATACATCTAGAGATTAAAATATAGCTCAAAAACAGAAGAGTATCCCACCATCCCAAAAAAACAGTGAGCCAGAAACCTCTATTAAACATCCCTCTATTAAGTGAATTCCAAGCACTTAAAAATTCTAGAAATCCATAGACTCCAGCCTGCCTAGAGAACCCTGCAACTGACTGAAGGAAACACAAAGCACTTACCCCAAGGAGCAGCCCAGGCAGAAGGAGCTCTCTGATAGAATGCCTGGGGCTCATATACCATTTGGCCCCGCCCAGCACCCAAACCCAATCACCTGGAAAAAGGGAGGGGCAAAGCACAAGGAAGTAGAAAGAAAGCAGGAGCAGCAGCAGCAGCTGTTTTTTATATTTTTCTTTGGTTTTTTTTTTTTAAGATCTGCTTTACTGGAAAAACATGCAGAGAGCAGACAGGAGACCTGTGCTGTTTCTAGAAGCAACAATCCCCATGCTTTTGCTGCAGCTTTTAACATTGAAAGGACAACACGACCAGGCCAGTAACTGGAACTTTTTGAAATGGAATTACGTCAAACAGGTTCATCATCACTTGCAAAAACAGAGAACGAACATTCACTAGCATGCCAGCCCTGATACCCACCTCCTGCACAACGCTGACTACTACTGATGCAATATACCATTGTGCAATACCTCTCTGTTCCCAGCTCCTTTACCTCACCTGCTCAGTAGCTCCACCTGAGAAATGTGCCCGGGCGGCGCCGCGCTTAAATGTGCCCGGGCGGCGCCGCGCTTAAATGTGCCCGGGCGGCGCCGCGCTTAAATGTGCCCGGGCGGCGCCGCGCTTAAATGTGCCCGGGCGGCGCCGCGCTTAAATGTGCCCGGGCGGCGCCGCGCTTAAATGTGCCCGGGCGGCGCCGCGCTTAAATGTGCCCGGGCGGCGCCGCGCTTAAATGTGCCCGGGCGGCGCCGCGCTTAAATGTGCCCGGGCGGCGCCGCGCTTAAATGTGCCCGGGCGGCGCCGCGCTTAAATGTGCCCGGGCGGCGCCGCGCTTAAATGTGCCCGGGCGGCGCCGCGCTTAAATGTGCCCGGGCGGCGCCGCGCTTAAATGTGCCCGGGCGGCGCCGCGCTTAAATGTGCCCGGGCGGCGCCGCGCTTAAATGTGCCCGGGCGGCGCCGCGCTTAAATGTGCCCGGGCGGCGCCGCGCTTAAATGTGCCCGGGCGGCGCCGCGCTTAAATGTGCCCGGGCGGCGCCGCGCTTAAATGTGCCCGGGCGGCGCCGCGCTTAAATGTGCCCGGGCGGCGCCGCGCTTAAATGTGCCCGGGCGGCGCCGCGCTTAAATGTGCCCGGGCGGCGCCGCGCTTAAATGTGCCCGGGCGGCGCCGCGCTTAAATGTGCCCGGGCGGCGCCGCGCTTAAATGTGCCCGGGCGGCGCCGCGCTTAAATGTGCCCGGGCGGCGCCGCGCTTAAATGTGCCCGGGCGGCGCCGCGCTTAAATGTGCCCGGGCGGCGCCGCGCTTAAATGTGCCCGGGCGGCGCCGCGCTTAAATGTGCCCGGGCGGCGCCGCGCTTAAATGTGCCCGGGCGGCGCCGCGCTTAAATGTGCCCGGGCGGCGCCGCGCTTAAATGTGCCCGGGCGGCGCCGCGCTTAAATGTGCCCGGGCGGCGCCGCGCTTAAATGTGCCCGGGCGGCGCCGCGCTTAAATGTGCCCGGGCGGCGCCGCGCTTAAATGTGCCCGGGCGGCGCCGCGCTTAAATGTGCCCGGGCGGCGCCGCGCTTAAATGTGCCCGGGCGGCGCCGCGCTTAAATGTGCCCGGGCGGCGCCGCGCTTAAATGTGCCCAAACAGACTTTATCTTCAGAGATGAAGAAGGTGACCCTGCTCAGTCTCTTGGCAGTACTGCACTTATGCGGTCAAGAAATTGTAGCCCACAGTTTCCCAAAAACAACGTACCTCACAACGCTTCATAAACATAACTCAAATAAGTGAATTCCATGCACATAAAGCAAGAAGGCTTGATGGTCTAAAGACTCAGACAGCAAGCACACAGGCAAAAGCTCCAGGAATATAACAAACCGCCCTTAAACCTGAAAAAGATCACCACTTATATGCCCACTGCTGCCATTTTCAGATACACGCTCACACAGGGAGCCTCCATCATACATTTCTCCTAAACCCTGCTCCATCACTTTGCCACAAAGGTTGTGATATTGATAATATTTGACATACAGGCAAAGAATCACAGAAAGCCCTGTAATTCTGCAAAAATCAGAAGGGACCCAGAACCACAAAGCAAAAACACAAAGTAACATCACCATACTATCTGTAGAACTGCCATAGTAACTACTCACCTGAGGAAGAGCTGCGTGCAATACAGGCACCTACTACTAGATTGCTTTACAATGACAGATCCTACCAATTGTCACCTCAAAAAGATCTGCGTACCAGTTTCTACTTGAAATCGCATCCATCCATAGACTCTGACCCACCTAAAGAACCCTCCAAACAACTGAAGGAAAAACAAAGCTCTTACCTAAAAGTGCAGCCCAGGCAGAAGGAGCTCTCTGATGGCATACCTTCAACTCAGTTACCATTAGGTCCCACCTGGAACCTGAAGCCAATCACCTGGGAAAGTGCAAGGGGGAAAGCACAAAAAAAAAGCAGAAAGAGGAAGAGCAGCAGCTGTGGTTTATTTGCTTATTTATATGGCTTAGCTCAACAGCATGCAGAGTGCAGACAGGAGAACTGGGGTGTTTCTAGAAACAAAAATCCCCATGCTTTTACTGCAGATTTGGATACTAAAAGGACAAAATGACCAAGCAAGTAGCTAAATTTTTTTTCCCATCTGGAATTAGCTCGATCTTTTATTTACATAGAAAGAAAAGTCTAGGAGCAGAACTGATTACATGCCAAAAATAGAATTCAATTCAATTCCACTTGCAGAAAAAGTCACTTAAGTATGATACCTGAAAGGAGGTAGCATACTTAAGGAGGAGGTACCTCTCTGTTCCCAGCTCCTTTACCTCACCTGCTCAGTAGCTCCACCTGAGAAATATGTGCCCGGGCGGCGCCGCGCCGAAATGGGCCCGAACAGCCTTACTTTCTAGAGATGAAGGAGGTGAGCCTGCTCACTCTTTAGGCACTACTGCACTTATGTGGTCAAGGAACCCTACCCCACGGTTTCCCGAAAACAACGTACCTTTTCTTTTTCTTAATATCTTTTATTTACGTAGAAAGAAAAGTCGAGGAGCAGAACTGATTACACGCCAAAAAAAAAAAAAATCAATTCCTTTCCACTCACAGGAAAAATCACTTACTTCAGTAGGCTACCTGAGAACCAAAAGGCTATGTTGATGGGTCAAAACACACTACAGGACACTGGGCCACGGCCCTCCACTGCATCCACTTAAATACCATCCCTAGACTCACCAAGGTGCAACCCCAACACAGAAAAAACAGACGCAGCATTTCAGCTTCAACACAGTTTTGGGAACTGCTGTAAAGCATGCTTCATCCTCAGCGAGGAGTGCTCAGGCTACACAGGACAGGGCTTCGGGCACCTCTTTGCCTACCAAAGAAGACCACCATCAGCACCTGCTTTGTTCTGATTCTCAAGAACTAACATCACAGCCCACATTGCCTGGGACACCTGATAAACAGAAGAGAAAGCAGCCATACCATTTTCCAGCCATCCCTGCACGTGTCGCTCCTTGATCATCTGCAACCTCTTCTCCAATCCTCAACCGCTTCTGTGGAGAGCCTGCCACGGCACCTGCAAAGCAAGACCCTTCGCACTCACCTCGTGCTACTTGGCAGTTCTGCTCCAATCCAGCTCACAACCAGCCTGCCCTTCTCATGCTGCTCTTCAGAGTGCAGCTTGGCCCCACTCAGCCTGTGCGAGACACCTGCAAAAGAAAACCATAGGCTGAAGCAGCATCCAAAGCCACAGCACAGCTGGGACAGTTACTCTCAGCTGCTCCCTTACCTCGGCCCCCTCACCTGCCCTCAAGGACAATGCTTCCATCTGCTCTCTTAGGCCAGCTACAACACCCCTGAAATGTAAACAGGATTTTTACTGTACTTTGTGCAGTTAACTAACTGCAGTGACAACTGCACCCCTAAAGTACCTGCTACATCTGCTCATCGCTCACCTTGCTGAAAGCAGCTCTGGTCGTCAAGTCCCGTGTTGTACACTGTGTTTCAGCTTAAACAACTGAAAACAGACACAAGATAATCATTCACCTGCCAGCATTAGCACCCATCCCTCCACAACACAACAGACCCCATTTACAACGTTATCGTTTCAAAACAGCAGCCCCCGTGCCTCAGCACCTCAGAAGTAGACCAAGCCAGTCACCGAGTTGCCTACCGAGTGATGAACAGTTCCAGAAGGAGCTCTTTCCTGTGACAGGTTCCTCCAAAGGCTTACGCTCTACTGGGGACAGGAAGGAAATAAAAATAAACATTTCCAAACCCCATATCTGTAAGCTTTCAAGATTCAACAGACCTCCTCAAGCACACCGTTCAAGCACTATGCAAACAGCTGCTCACAAGCAGATATACTCTCCCAAATCCACAGCGGCCAACCACCAGACATGACTGTGCCAGCTGCCCTTCAGTACGTGCCCAGAGGCAGACTGGATGTCTTCACCAACACCCTCCAGACAATGTATTAGCACACCCATGCACTGCCACATTAGCTGTCATCACTAACTGCCAGGCAGGACAGCTCCAGACCAAACACACACACAGGCACGCCACAAACACTACAAACAAAACACACAACACTAGGCACAAGAAAAAGTGACCCCCAGGGGAAAGCCCTATGGCAACAGCAAGTCAGATACAGGCGCTCTGCACCAGACCCTAGGAGAGACTCAAATGTCACGACACGTGACTGGAAGCAACTGCCAGAACTGGGATGATGGAGGCCTAAAAAGCCTGCCTTCAAGACAAGAGACCAGAAGGATGGGGACTGAAAACCCCCTAAGAAGACGCTTAGGAAATCAATTCCCAAGCAAGAGCTCCTGATGCGGCCCAGATGACTTCTGCAAGAGTGAGGATGGAAACAGACGTGATCTCACACCGAATATGATGCACATGACCTGAAACAGATCTGCATTTCAAGCAGTGACTGCAAGACAAGAAGTGCTCGGATCAGAGTCATGATGACAAAACAAGCATTGAGGCCCTTCAGCACTGCTACCAAGTCGCCTGTCTAGTCAGTCCAGTGTAAAAAGTTAGGAGGATATCAAGACCCAAGGAGACTGTAACTCACAACACGCACTGGAGAAGCAACACTACAGGACAGACAAACTTAAGGAAACTGTCCTGCCTGGCACACGCATTCAAGCTACAAAATAATCCTGCCTCTTCTATTAGCCTGGTGACCCAGCCACAAGCACCCTGAACCTGATCCAGCCTGAACCACCCCTCACAGTGGCACCAAGTCTATTCAGCCAGCTGGCTCCATGCTGCTCTGGCTCCCAGCTCCCATTAGCCACCCCACATATGCAAATACCAGGTGCCCCCCAACTTCACTAGCACGCCGGCCATGATGCCCACCTTCTCCACAATGCTGACTACTGCTGATGCAACATACGGTTCTGCTCACCTCTTCCACTCCGAATCCAAGCTCCAACAGTGCAGCCAGTATCATCCACACCACCTGGGAAAACAAAGGGATTAAATGATCCTTGCGGTCACAAGTGACCCAATGGTGTTTTTTTTTTTGTTATTGTTTTTTTGTGTGTGTTTCCTGTTTGTTTTTGTTTTTGTTTTTTTCAAATCTGCTTTTGCTCAACAGCATTCAGATTGCAGACAACAATACTGTGGTATTTCTAGAAGCAACAATCCCCATGCTTTTGCTGCAGCTTTTAACATTGAAAGGACAACACGACCCAGCAAGTAACTGGAACTTTTTCAAATGGAATTAGCACAAACTTTTATTTACATTGAAAGAAAAATCTAGGAGCAGAACAGATTATATGCCAACAAAATTAATTCCATTCCATCCCCAGAAAAAAATCATATACTCTCATCCTGTCCTGTACCTCAGCCGCTTGTCTGCCCCACATGGCAGATACTTCCATCTGTTCTCTTCACCCACTTATAGCACCTCTAAAAGGCAAACTGGAATTTTACTCTATTGGATGTAGGAAAATACCTGCAGTGACAACCGCACCCCAAAAACAACAGCTACGTCTGCTCATCACGCACCAGAGTCACTGCAGAGGCAGCTGGTTGAGACATCCTGCACTGCACACTTCATTTCAGCCTGAACAAAGGAGAAAGGAAGAATATAAACATTCAGCTGCCAGCAGTAGCACCCATTCTTCAACAACATAAGCAACCCCAGCTTGACTTTTATCCTTTCAAAACAGCAGGCAACTTGCCTCTGTACCTGCAAATTAGGTCCAAGATTGAAAGGAGCGGCCAGCATCACCCACGCCACCTGGGAACACAAAAGGACAAAACCACCACTGTGCTTGCAAGCACCCACCTGCCACACTGCTCCTCTATCCCAAACAGCCTCACCTCGGACCCTCACAGGGAAACACCTGAGCGTCTTCCCTTTGCTTCGGATAAGGGATGACCAGGCTGACAACACTCACCTTCCCTCAGAGCTTCGTGACATGAGGATTTCCCTTCCCTCTCCACAACTGCACAAAGCACCTGCAGAGACAAGAGAAACGCACACTCTGAGGCACCTCACAGCCACAGCGTACCTGCTGCAATACCTCTCTCTTCCCAGTTCTGTTACTTCAGCTGCTCACCAGATCTAACTCAGATTCTTTGCTCACAGCAGCACAGCAAACACTGCCCAGGCCACAGAACACACATGCTCAATTGCTTAAGACACACGAGCTGGAACGTTCCAGCCCAACAATTAGTCACATCACACAGGAAGGATGCCGCATACTCCTTGAAACCAAACCTACCAGTCCAGAGCAGCTCCCCACCTCCTCATTCTAACCATACTCAGCACACACACTATTTGACCCTCAAAAAAAACAAACAAAAAAAACCATGCATACACACAAAGAAAAACAACTAAGCTCCATAAAATCCAAAGAGACATGCACACACAAGCCTCGGCAGGGGTAATCACAGACTTACCCTTTGCAGATGAAAGAGGTGACTCTGATACAACCCTGCTCAGTCTCTTGGTAATGCTGCATCTACACTGTCAAGCCACATGTAGCATGCAGTCAAGCTGGTTTTAGCCCTCTGGTGAATTACACAAGTGGGTTTATACATCTGGAGATTAAAATACAGATCAAAAACAGAAGAGTATCTCACCATCCAAAAAAAACAGTGAGCCAGCAGCCCCTACTAAACATCCCTCTACTAAGTGAATTCCAAGAAATCCAGAAATCTATAGACTCCAGCCTGCCTAAACAACCCTGCAACTGACTGAAGGAAAAAGAAAGTACTTACCCCAAGGAGCAGCCCAAGCAGAATGAGCTCTCTGATAGCATGCCTGGGGCTCATATAGCATTTAGCCCCGCCCAGCACCCAAACCCAATCACCTGGGAAAGGGGAGGGGCAAAGCACATGAAAATAGGAAGAGAGCATAAAAAGCAGCTGTGTTTTTTTTTTCCCCTTTGTTTTTTAAAATCTGTTTTATCTCAAAAAAATTCAGAGAGCAGACAAGAGACCTGTGGTGTTTCTAGAAGCAAAAATCACCTTTTGCTTTTGCTGCAGCTTTTAATGTTGAACTGATAATGTCACCAAGCAAGTAACTGAAACTTCTTCAACTGGAATTAGTTTAAACACGCTCACCATCATCTGCAAACACAGAGAACCAGCATTCACTAGCCCTAACCCCAACCCTCACCCTAAACTTTAACCCTATCCCCAGCCCTAGTCCCTAACCCCAACCCTAGTTCCCAAGAACTGCATTTCCCGGTATGCTCCGGGCACTCAACATGGCCTCCCGGAAGTTCGGAGTCCCAGAACTACACTTCCCGGCATGCTCTGGGCACCCAACATGGCCTCCCGGAAGTTCGGAGTCCCAGAACTACATTTCCCGGTATGCTCCGGGCACCCAACATGGCCTCCCGGAAGTTCGGAGTCCCAGAACTACATTTCCCGGTATGCTCCGGGCACCCAACATGGCCTCCCGGAAGTTCGGAGTCCCAGGACTACATTTCCCGGTATGCTCCGGGCTCCCAACATGGCCTCCCGGAAGTTCGGAGTCCCAGAACTACATTTCCCGGCATGCTCCGGGCACCCAACATGGCCTCCCGGAAGTTCAGAGTCCCAGAACTACATTTCCCGGCATGCTCTGAGCACCCAACATGGCATCCCGGAAGTTCAGAGTCCCAGAACTTCATTTCCCGGCATGCTCTGGGCACCCAACATGGCCTCCCTGAATCCTGGTGCTGGAAAACTACACCTACCAGAATTCCCTGAACAGCCAGCACGGCCAATCAGAGGCCGAGTTTTCGAGAACTACATTTAACAGCACTCACTGTAACCCTAGCCCTTACCACCCTTACGCAAAAAAGCCTCAAGCCCTAACCCTAAAAATCCTCGAAACCCCTACAGACCTAACCCAAACTATTTACCACATTAAACCCCCGAAGACCTATGCCTAAAACCCCTAACCCACAAAATTAAGATGCTCAAATCCCAAACCTAAAAAAATAGGACGCTCAAATCCCAAACCCCCTTCCGAAAAAGAAAATAAGAAAGAAAAATCAAACAAAACAAAAACAACAAAAGGGGTAGACCTGGTGGCATCTGCCCTGTAACCCTGCAAATATCATGAGGGACCTAGAACAACAAAGCAAACACACAAAATAACATTGACATCCTATCCATAAATGTGCTATAACAATTAATCATCTCCAAAGAGCTTCATGCAATAAATGAACATACTACTCGATTGGTTTCCTCTAAAAGATCGTACAAGACTCTGACCCACTAAAAGAACCCTGCATGTAGCTAACAGAAGAATAAACAAAGCACTGACCCAAAGAGCAGCCCAGGCAGAAGGAGCTCTCTGATAGCATGCCTGGGGCTCGTATAACATTTGGCACCGCCCAGCACCCAAACACAATCACCTGGGAAAGATGAGGGGGCAAACCACAAGAAAGAGAGCAGGAGCAGCAGCAGCTGTGTTCTTTTATTTTTTTTTTTTCCCCTATCCCTAGTTTACAGCATGCGGAGTGCAGACAAACGAACTGCGGTGTTTCTAGAAGCAAAATTTACCGTATTTTTGCCTCAGCTTTGAACATAGAAAGGACAATACAACCAAGAAAGTAAATTAAATATTTTCAACGGGAATTAGCTCAAACCTTTCATTTACATATGGAGAAAAATCTAGGAGCGTAGGAAATTACACATCAAAAAAAAAAAAAAAAAGACGTAATAAGCAACGCGCATGCGCGGCGCCCGGCCGCCAGCAGTACCTGATTGTGTCCAGCAGGTGGCGGCAAAGGGCGCCCGCGGGCTCCACCGCGCATGCGCGGATCCCAGCTGCCTGCAGTACTCGTTCTCCACCAGGAGGTGGGGGCAGAGGGCGCCCGCGGGCGCCACCGCGCATGCGCGCATCCCAGCTGCCTGCAGTACCCGTTTGCCTCCAGAAGGTGGCGGGAGAGGGCACCCGCGGGCGCCACCGCGCATGCGCGGCCCCCGGGCGCCTGCAGTACCCGATTGCTTCCAGCAGGTGGCGGCAGAGGGCGCCCGGGGGCGCCACCGTGTATGCGCTGCGCCCTGCAGCCTGCAGTACTCGTTTATCACCAGCAGATGGAGGAAGAGGGCGCCTGCGGGTGCCAGCGCGCATGCGCGGCCCCCGGGCGCCTGCAGTACTCGATCTCCACCAGAAGGTGGCGGCAGAGGGCGCCCGCGGGCGCAACCGCGCATGCGCGTAGCTCGGCAGACTACAGTATTCCTTCTCCACCAGCAGGTGGCGGCAGAGGGTGCCCGCTGGCGCCTTCGCGCATACGCGGAGCTCGGCTGCCTGCAGTACCCGATTGCCTCCAGAAGGTGGCGGCAGAGGGTGCCAGCGGTCGCCAGCGCGCATGCGCGCCGCCTGGCCGCCTGCAGAAGTCCTTTCCCACCAGCAGGTGGCGACCGAAGGCGCCAGCGGGAGGGCTTGTCGGGCGGATTACAGCTCGCCTACTGTGCCATTCAGAGCTTATGGCTGTATTTTTTCCAACGTATTTGCTACCCACACCACGCACGGCAGCTTGTCTTACAAATAATTCTGTCAGTATTCTCTTTAACACGGGCATGAAGCATCCACTGCTCTTCTATGCAAGCAACCTTCCTTCTGTGCTCCATTTGGGATGCAGGACTACATGCACTGAGATTTGTTCCACTCATTTTTCATCTTTTCATTGTCACAGTCTGCAAGGACGTCTTGCTTTCTTCTCACAGACTGATGTGATGGATAGGGATGAATCGCCCTATGTATTCCAAGGTATTACTGTGGGTTTTTTTTTAAGTATGTTCAGCTGTACAGATGAATACATTACCGCTAAGAAAAGAGTTCAGAAATGTTTATAACAAGTTCTTTCCATGTGTAACTTTTTCACTTCACATGGTAATAAAGATATGCTGCTTTTGGATTTAATTTCCTTCTTGAATCTCACTGGTGTAATTCCAATGGTAAAACCACCTCTTCCAGAAAGACAAGGCCACTGCTTCACAAGAGACGGAAAAGATGTCTCACAGGCTGGCTAGTACTACAAATATTAATAGGAACAGAAGTTCAGGCCATCAACTTAAATCTGTTTCCCTGTCTCTTCTGCTAGCTGGTCAAGTGGAATCCTCAAGATATTCGCAGTACTTTGTAAAGAGCTTGTTAACATGAGAACAACTTCAACCTGTCTTTTAAAAGAATGCTGTTAAAGGAGCAGGAGAACGTTTTTAAATGAGAACAACTGAAAATAAAATTATCTGAAGAGCCACTTACTATGGGCATATTACTGTTTAAAATGAAAAAAATAATTACGTGCAGGTGCTTCAGCCTTCGTTGCATTTTCTGTGATTCACAACATTACCTTCGAACAAAAGAGTAAGAGGAACGGAGGAGAGGATATTAACTTGGGTAACCATGGATTTGGTAAGCTGGAACTTGGTGCCTTTAATACTTTCACCTTGGAGCAAAAATGTACACCCTGCACAGGCTGAGCTGACTGATGAGTACATGCTACTGGGAGGTAAGTACAAACACATTCTGCAGCTATTACCAGAAGTGGAATTTCAGGGTATGCAGACTGGTTTCACAAAAAATTAGCGGTCTGCTGGTAACAGGAAATTCAATGCTGCCCGCTACAGACTCCTCAGGTTAGCACTTATTAAAAATTAATTAAAGGGTTTATTTTATATATATACACCTATGTTCCAAAAAATTTATACAGTTAAAGTATCAAATTAGTGATCCAGTAACAATACTGTTCAAAAATAATCTCTTTTATATGAACATTAAAATGCACGTTTTTAAAAGCGTTTCCTTTTAGTGCTTCCAAAGCACAGCGTGTGCCAAGGCCACCTGAAGAATCTCCAACCTCCTCACAAGATGAAAGAGAACTGAAGTCATGGACCTGGGAAGCCTCAGGTGCACTTTCATAATGTCTGCAGACAAAACAGAAGAGAGTCTGAGATAAATTGTTTAGTGACCACCAGGTGGTAACAGTCACAGGGCTGTCTTTAGCTTTCATTAACACAATAGCAGTTTCTTTACTCTCAATCTACACTGAATCTCAAGTTTAAAGGCATGGCTAGCAGTTCTCGGGAAGAAGACCCTTGTATCTGTGCTGGCAACATGTAATATTACCAATGCAGCTGTTTCTGGGAGGTTTTCTTTTTTTTTTTTTTTTTTTGGGGGGGTGGGGGGGGGAACACATGGGATCTCTCCACAATGCAGTGTGTGCATTTGACAGTGCCCCATTTTAGTAAATTCTCATCACCTGCAGGAGGGGCAACAATGGTTATTTTCTTCAGCCTGTTGAGCAAATAGCACCCTCCACAGGAAAATAGCCACACTTTTCATAGCACATCCTTAAGGTTACAGCCCAGCTTCTGCCGACAGAGGTTCGTAAAGTTAAAGCTCTGCTGTTTCTTCTCAGACTCCGCCAGGATGGTGAGGGCAACAGCTACATCCTCTTCCACTCTTCTGTGGCACAGCAAACTCATTCCTGGTCCGTGTTCCTCTGGCTGGTACACTATTATCTACTGTTGACATGACTAACTCTGTTGGGTAGGCTGTTGAACTCTAGTTCCTCTAGTATTCTCTCTAAGTGTTGTATTAAGAGACATTTTTTAAAACTAGGGAAGAGAAGGGAAGTAATTCCATTTTTTCTTCCAAAAATAGCAGTTAAATAACTCTGTATTATTTTGCCACAACAAACAGTATTACCAGAGGCTTTCTGTTTCCAGCATGGAAGAGCTTCCCTCATTTCTGACATCAGAATGGCAAATTTAATTTGATACAGCCATCTCTCCCCAGTCCAGGCAAATTCTGGGTCTTTCTTCCATAACCACCCGTATCTTTCTATTTCACATTTCAGCTCTAGGTAACGACCATTTACTTCAGAAATACAATGGCAGTTTGACAACTAAAACTGTAATAATTTAAGTATGTCAAAACAAAGTACTTGTTTTGGAAAAGATTGAGATTTACTATCATGAACAACGTTAGCATTTAACTCTGAATCGTTTATATCTATACAAACCTTGCTGCTTCCTTTATAGCAAATTCAATGAAATACTTCTGAATATCCATTGGTCCTTGTACCTCCTCAAGAAGAGAGAAGATTTTTTCATAATCTTAAAGAAAAGATCCAAACAGATATTAGAAACAGATCTTGCAAATGCATTTTCAATAAATCTTAACAGCCAAAGGAAAAATAACAAAGCCTAGAGTTTCCCATTTCTGCATACAATAATGCACGTAAGACAAGGAAAAAGCCAGCATACCAGTAATTTGAAGTGATACTGATTTGCTGGTATTCAAATGCAGCGCTGAAAAATTTCGTCCTCTTAAAAGAGCAATATCTAGAAACACCTGCCCTTGGAAAATGCAGTCTAGGTTTAATCAGCAGAGAAGCCTTGTATCTCCATGAACACACTGCCATGATTAGCAGTTAATAGAAACAAAGGGATCCCAAGCCATGTTTCAACCTAGAGCTGTCATTTTTGAAAGCAGAGGTATAAGATAACTACTCTTTACAAGATGACTAATCTATGTGGAGCATGAGCACAATTAATATGATTGTCTTGTATAAAGTTTGAAAAATAAAAAAGTAGTGCAAAAGAACAAGCTGGACACATTAGATGTGAAACAATGGTATTTTTTCCTTGGTTTCTGTATTTTCTTATCTGAACCAACTACGAAAACATGAATGGTGCTTCGACTAAGCCTGCTTAAGAGTGCTGCAGTAAGTATGGTGAGGATATAAAGTTGGACTGTGAATACATGTACTTACTTTCTTGTTCTTCCACTACTCATGCACAAGTAATCAAAAATGATTCAAAATCAGAGGTTTTATTTTAAAAATAGATCCTCATTTCAAGAAGTCTTCTGTATCCCTAGCCTATTTTTAATACACTAATAAAGAACTTACTTCTTCCAGGTTTGCGAACCTCTTTCATCACTCTAATTTTAATATCAGCATCGCTTCCCTCCAACATCGTAGGTGTTATTTTAAATGAATTTGGCACAGATTCAGAAGTAGACTCCATCACCAGTTTTTGGTCATCTCCAACCACACTGAAATTTAGAGGCCCTCGAACAAGTGCACTGGTACCAGGTTTACGATCCAAGCCATCTTTGCATCATTTAAGCAATTGAACTCATCATGTAGAGAGTCTAAGTCACCACGTAACATTTCATCCTCTCCCATAACAGCTGGAACCGAAGAAGCTATTTGCACAGACAAGCCATCAATTTGCTTTTCCAGCAACTGAAAATTTTCTGCTTTCTTCTCTCCATTACCATCTTGGACAGTATTGTTACCAATGTCTGAAAATTAAGAAGATGTATCTTAGTAGTGCGTAACTGCAGTAACAAAAACACAGAAGGAAATTATTCTGCATCCCTTCTTGTTTAAAGTACTGTGTAGAGAGTTACTCAGCACTGTCAGATCACTTCAGTAATTTTATTCACCCTTTGACGCAACCACAGGAATACCTCCTTTTGGACTGCTAGCATCTCATATGACTGTCGTGAAGTTATTTTCTGTATTCCCATTTCAGTGTTTTGACTTCCAAGTAAACTAAAGTTTCCCCTCCTTCCCCCAGTTCCAGCAAATTTTTCTTTTGACTCTGCTGCAACAGGTGGGTAAATTTGTGAGAAATTTAAACTTTTTTTTTTTTTTTTTTTTTTTTTACACTTTTCTTCCCCACTTCTCCCTTCCCCACGATAGAATACACAAATGAGAACTAAAAGCTGAAATGAAACCTTTGCTACCTCCAAACCGTCATGGTGAAAGGTTTCAGCACTTTTTAAAAACAGTTCAAAATTATTGCTCATTCAGGACTTCGTTAGCTATAGCAACAGCCTGTTTGTCTAAGCCGACCTAAGAAATTCAGTCCCAGTTAACTCTAAAACTTACGTGTCCTTTTGAATTAACATAGAAAGCACAGAGACTTTTTTTTTTGCACACATTTTTCCACTTATGACCACACAAACTCCTGTACTACAACTCCAACATACCTTTATTTGTTGGCATGCCTTTGAGGTTCAGATATGATGGAGATCCAGCAGCACAGGGTGGCCCTTTCCCACCAACGTGGTTTGTCACAACAGTGACTGTGGCTGTCTCAATAGCAGTGACATGCTATGCCTTCTCTTTAGTGATGCTGCAGTATTGGGCTCTCCAGGACGCTTGATCTTATTCTGAGGCCCAGCAACAAATTTATCTGCTTCATCTCTCATCATACCCTGGAAAGACTTTTTTTTTTTTTTTAAGTAAAAAATAATTGCTTCGTCAATTCACTACCAGAGTAATTGCCTCTGTGTTACAATTCAGTTACTTTTCAAATAATGATACAGCAGATAGCAAGACTTCTCCTACCTTCTCATCCTGTTTGAACAGATTGCCAAATATATGAAGCCTTTTTGGTTGATCTGGATCAATCTCCCGAAGGGGTGAAGGCATCATTTTCAACTACTCCTGATAATTTCCCATTTGAACAACAAGAACGCTGTGAAGGCAGTCTGCAGCAGAACAAGGTATCTAAATTTAGTCTACCTTAAAACCAAGGAAATACAAGCCTCACATGCTTCCATTTCAAGTGTTAGCATTTAAGAACTAGAAATCACTATTTCCTCCCTCTACAAAGGAAAAGCAAAAGGCAAATAAAGCCCCTCTTTCCTTTCACCATCACTATAAAAACATCTACTGTATCCTGTTGCATAGGAAAGCTCACCCATGAAATATAGTTTTCAAATTCCAAGCATGCACAACATGTTTTGTGACAGAAGGCAGAAGTTTCATTCTTTTCCTTCAGAATCTAGTGAAGGACGACTAACCCAAAAAACGATGCAAAGTCTACTTCCTCTCCCACACCGAGGACAGAAACACTACTTAGGTGAATTAAATAGCTGTACCAGAATGTTAATAAATAATTATTGCGATTTACCTTCATCCTGCTCCATGATATCCCTGTGTGTTTTCAGAAGATTGGTTCTCATTCTGGTTAGCTGATCTAGAAGACTGCGACAAGGCATATCATATGCATTTCTGAATGCCCGTGGTTTCAAATCCTAATTTTATAATAAAACAAGTAACTCTCAGTTAACCCACAAGTTCTCATGCACAAAGAAATTGCTCTATGGGCTGTAATATTGTTAACTACTACAAGAAATATTCTGAAACACTTTCAGACATTCTGAACATATTCTGAAACAACTTTCTTTCCATCTCTCTGGAAAGAGCTTTCCTCCTATCTGTGACAAAGGAAAAAAAAAAAAAAGTTGTGATCGTGGGAGTCATTACACAAAGCCACACTCTGTGAATTCACTACTACAGTTAAGATTATTTTTAGTCAAAAATACCTCGGCAGCAATGCTATCACTGCAAACATAGCGTTGCCAAAAAAAAAAAAAATTCAACTCAAGATATAGGAGAGGGCGAGCTAAAAGCACAAATAACATGACCGATGGAGGCTGCAACAACCACCTGGTAGATGGTTGTCCATAGCCCTCGGATTTTATGGTCGTCTTTCCTGACAAATTAATACTGGAAGAACAGAAAAGATACACCATGTGTCCACAAAAGCCTTCAGGGAGATTACTGAAAGGAAAACCAAACCAAAAAACTAGAAAGAAGCAAGTGGTGTATACGTCAGTTTTGTTAACAGAGCACCACTAATGTACTAGGAATTTCCACATTCTTCGCCCTCCTCTACCTTGAAAATGTCACCCAATTCTGTCAGTGTGTTCACCATTTGCATTTATTTATTTTAATTTTCACGTGGACATCCAAGGAAAACATTTTGAGTCCCTGTCATCAAGGGAGAAGAGGAGAGAAAACAAAAAAGAAAAAAAAAGAGAGAGATGAGGGGGGAAGCAGCACAGCCATTCCTTTCCTTGGTAACGTGAGCAGAAAGCTCAGGCGCTCAGCATCAACGTGCTTTGAAAGATAAAACACAGAAGAAACTGCACGTTATTTAGTCTCAGCTAAAGAGTCACATGTATTTGTACCGCTCATTTATTCATCTGCCAGTGTATTTTGCTACAAACGCTACAGAACATTGAAACCACAAGGTTACTACTACCTTTTGTGACCGACACGATCTTCCTGGGCTGCAGGAAGTTTATGAGCACGCCTCGATTTCACCCGGAGGTTGCTGCGACTTACCTAGGCAGTCGGGACGGACGGGCTGCTCTTTCTCCTGGGAAACCTGTGACCGCAGCACGCCACCTGCATCTTCCCTCAGTTTACCCTGTGTGCCACCTTCACTCAGCAACCAACACCACAGGGGTCCTAGCGGCGGGGAGCTGCTTCTGCCCTGGTGAACCGCAGCACGAGGACATAGCCGGCTGTCAGAACGCAGGGAGAGGAAAACCTCCCAGGTGCAGTCCAACAATCAAGCAGGGTTTAAAATGGGCAGAAGGTTTTTGAATAGCTACTGCAAGGAGACTTTTTCAGACAGCAAGGAAATGCCGCTGAGCCACAAGGTGCCTGTTCTCAGCATCTCCACTCCTTTCCATTGGATTTCTATGTAGCCCCAAGGTGGTGATGGGTACATCCACTGGGGTGGCACAATGTAAGAGATAGTTAATAGACAAGGTACACCTGAGCTGCACAGATTGCATATTCTAGGCAACAAAAAAGGCATAGCTTGGCACCCAGTTTGGATCAACTTGCATATGAGTCTGCTGACACGTGAGTATATGCAACAAGCAGAAAAGTCATTTACTCCACAGACTCAGTTTCATTTATGTATATGCATACATATACATATGTGTATGTATCTTTCTCTCTCTCTACATATGTATATATAAACAAACGCTTGGAACTTTATAACCACTTGAGTAACAATCATTAGCTATGCCTATGCTTAAAGCCAGGAGTACGCTTCAGTGATTAAGTGAACACAGAGCCTTACCAGTGAAATGCTGAAAATGCCCCAAAACCACTGGGGGACTTATGCACGGCATACATCATTTTTGCACAAACGTGCATCTTAATACACAAAGAGGAGGGGCGAGGCAGACAAAGATTTTAGAGATATGTCAGGACCAGAACAGACACTGGGCAATCGCTCAGATGGGCAAAGCTCAGCTGAAACTCGTACAATCCACCGAGGTAAGGAGGCTACCTACTCGTCTGCTTAAAATAACCTCTACAAAGAACGCATTACAAAATCAAAAACAAAACCATCATCCAGCAAGGCAAACGTCTGGAGTACAAAGGGCTAAAACTGACAGCTGAGGTTTGATTCTTTAGCAATGTCAAAGGTCTTCAGATCCTACCTGACTTCTCGTGGATGGTGGTGTTGCAGCACAGAAAGGAGGGGATCAGGAAGATTGAAACAGGACAAACGCGGTGCTGAGCTCCTAACGGAGCTGGTGGGATAGCACTGATGAGAGTGAGACAGGCTGTCAGCCTTCTGCACGAGCTGAAGAAGAGGAGCACAAATGTCACAAGAAGCTGTTTCTTCTCATACTCCATTTAATAAACACAATCCAGGGCATCTTCTCACGGAACAGATAAAGAGGTAGAGCTAGTGGCTCCAGGGACACTTCAGGATCTTATTTCTTCCTATAGTTAGCTGCTATCCATAAACCCGAACCAGCTAAAATAGAGTTATATTAAAAATTCAGTATAATAGCATAAGTATGGGATTTAAAAAACAAAACAAAAACATACATGGAAAAGAGATTAAATTATCTCATTCATTTCCCAATTTCCCTGCAAACCCTATGCTCAGCTCCTCTTAACTCACTGACCTAACCAAACACAGGGCAGACGCATCAGTTCTTATTATTGTTGGTAAAAATACGACATTTTCACGCTTGCTGCCAAATATCACCTTTCCAGCACACTTTCCTGCAAGCTATGCTAAGTCCTCCAAATTTTTTAATATATGCTAGAAACTTCGCTGTTTTATCTTAATGACTATCTCGGAGGGAGTCACCACCAAGCTGCTATCTTTGATTCTGCTGTCTTCACAAAAACAAATAAAACAGTACTTCAGCAACACCCTGTGACAAACTAGGTGACACGCGCATCGACTTCTTACACAAGGAAGGAAAGAATTCGCAGACAACATCCAGAAAGTATTACTTTGTTAGATGTCAAGAGCGGTGGGGCAGAATGACAATGCTATGCAAGACCATGCCTACACTCCCGGGATCATACACAGTTTGCTAGAATACAAAAATAAAAAAATAAATTCAGATTACTGTGTGGAACAAGTTCACTCGTTCCATTATTAGTGTGAATGACAACAATATTTTAGTAAGTGTTCTTTTAAACCCATAGAAATTTTCTTATTTATCTTGATTTGGCTTCATGAAAACTGAAACTTGCAGTGCAAAGATCATTTATAAAAGCTTTAGCAGCTGAGTTTTTTAGGCATGGGTTTGGCCACCTTTCTGGATAATATTCGGCTCTCTCTGCCTTCCCCCAACAAGAAAAACAACCTTAAGACCACAAACTGGGACTTCTGGGAGGTGTGAGTCCACTTGTCACCTTACCAGAAACACACTGTTTCTTCACTATGCCACACTTTCTCCATGACTGCATAATAGAGTCTCACTGCTATTACTTATGTCTGTGAGTGTGACAGGCTTCCCCAGACTGGATGAAACAAGCATTTCTCGTTGTGATGGACAACAAATCCAAGGATACCTCTCGTCGACTGTGGAGTCCTGCTAGCACTATCACCAGCTTTCACACAACCCCACCTAGCTTTTGGGGTCCGCCCCATCTGTCCTTGACGGCGGGAAGTTCTTCCAGAAGCAGACAGACTGTTATTCGTGGAGCTGAGGCCCTGTAAGGCTTTGATTTTTTTCTTCCCTCACTCCCCCTCTATTTCCAAGCTTAATCTTACAGCCAGCAGCAACCTGCGCCTCCCGGCGCGCACAGCCCGGCCCCGGCCCCGGCCCGGGGAAAGCCCGGCCGCGCAGCTCGGAGCCCACGTGGCCGCCCGGCACCGCAGAACTACAGCTCCCAGCATGCCTCGGGACGGAGCAGTCCAGCCAACCCAGAGGGGCGTCGGCCAACCGCACACAACCGCCGCCGCCTCCCGACGCTCCGCCCCCCTCTGCCGCAGCCCCCCGAAGCCCCGCTCAGTGCAGACCCCGCCGCACGGCCGTCCGATACGGTCCGATCCGGTCCGGTCCGGTCCGGCGCGGCGCCGCCCCCGCCCAGCACAAAAGCCATTTCCGCAGAAGCAGCCGACCGCGTGGCGCCTCGACCGCCCGCCGCCTCGCCCCGTCCCGTCCCGGGATGGCACCGACCACCAACTTCGCTGCGGCACCGCGCCTCGGCGTCCCAAGCCGAGCCCGGCCTGGCCCGACCACTTCCGCCCTCAATGAGGGCAAGCCCTGACGCCACTTCCGCCCTCGGTTCCCAGCCCCGTACAGAGCCGGCCCGGCGCGGCTCCCGCTGCGGAGAAGGGCGCCGCCATTTCGCCACGGACAGGGGTCCTGCGGCGCCGCCCGGCCCCACCTTCCGCGCATGCGCGGAAGCAGAGCCGCCTAAAAAAAAGGTAATAAAAAATAATGCCAGCTAAAAAAAAAAGTAATAATAAAAAAACGCCACTCAACAAGGGCCCATGATTTTTGTCTTTACTGATTTTGCACTGCTCGTCCCATTTTCTTAGCTATCCTCCTTATTTTGGGACAGCGGAGCCTTCCCTTTATCTTCTTAACATACACCCTGCTGCTATGCTACTGCGAAAAACACCTTCTGTTGCAAAAACACAACTCTGTTTTTCACAACTACTCTCCCCTCTTCTTTTCATACTCCTATTGTTTTTTCACCTTTTCGCATCTCCCATCCTTAAGTTTTTCCAACATTAGGGCACGCTATTTTTCTTTGGACATCTTGGGGCATGACAAATACACAATGCCATTATTATTATAACAACAAATACGTACTACACAATTCCTGCATAGCGTACTTGTTTAGCCAAAGTATATATATTCCTACACATACACATTTCTGTAGCACAGCGTCACACATTCCTTGAATTCCCCGATGGCTGTCTGGATGTAAAATATTAATATAAAACTAATATTTGCCTTTTCTGATCCACATTTCTTCCACCAGACTTCCTTCAGGTGCTGCAAAGACCTGTATAAGACCAAGTGTTCTAAGAGGTACAAAACATTTTTTTTTCTCAGATGCACCCAGATGGTACACACAAACACGCAGATGGAGAATAAAAGCACTATTTGTCTTATCTAGCTTAATTGGAGAGGGATGTGCATCCCAGGCTCCAAGGTACAGTTAAGGTTATTTAGTATTGCTTTGTGCCTTTCTCAAATATCAGAAGCTAGCTTGACTCCTAAAAAACTTCTTGAAGATAGAAGTGACATTTGCTTTCCTCCAGTGTCTGGGCACTTCTAGTCTCCTTGTCAAGAATGGCCTCACAATGCCATCTCTCTCAGCACCTGTGGGTACATTCCATCAGGGCCCAAGTGACCAGTTTACTTAAGTATTCCTTGTTTGGATCTTCTTTCAAGAAAAAAAAGTCCTTGCTCTACATTGCCTCCTGGTCTCTGTCTGGAACCTGGGATTCCTCTCTTGTTGCCACTCTTGTTGGTAAAGATTAAGGCAAAGAAGGTGTTCAGTATTTCAGCCTTCTCCATTTTCTGTGTCACTTGGTCCCCCATCTCATTCAGCAGTGGGACCCACCTCCCCCCCCCCTTTTTTTTTTGTCTTCCTTTTGTAACCGATGAACTTACAGAAGCCCTTCTTGTCTTTAACCTGGCCAAGCACATCCACCTTAGCTAGGAAATAAAACAGCTTACTACCCATTGAAAATTTAGACAGGAATTTTGAAGAAGGAAAAAACTCAAAATTAAAAATAGTAAATATACATACATATTAATCCAAGAGCCTTAGTCTCAGTTTCCTAAAGTAAAGCAGTAAAGTGAAGGAACCCTAACTGCGTAACTAGATATGACAGTATTCATGCTCAAGACTAGGGATACAGTTACAAGGTCACCTAAGAATTGTTAACATAGATATTTCCTAATAAGAACATCCAAGTTGCTTTTGTTTCTAAACATAAGGTGGCAGCATAGGGACACTAGTATCTGAAGCCTATTAGCATCACCACAAAGAAAGCTGAACACCTGTTAGACAACTGCTCTCTCTAAAGCTGAGAAATTATATCAAGAAATCTCTAAAGCTTGTACAAAAGAACTTTGAGCATAATTCTTTCATCTAATACCACTTGACTAAGCCTATTTTCAAGAGCAACCATAAGCTACCATCTTCCTAGAGGAAAAACACAAAATCCCTGCCACTTCCTCTCCTGCCACAGCAAAATGGGAAAGAGATGTGGCGTTTACTTTCCAGTCATTGCAGATACCCAGACTTTCAAGTCCATGAAGTGATGGCACACATTAGTATAACTTTCCTTCTTCTCTGCTTAGAATCACAATACTCCCTGCTACAGGAGGCATAAAAAATATGACTTCTTCTGTCTAGCATTCCTTCTTCAGAAAATGAAGGATTTTCCCTGCTTCTGAGCATGTCTCCTTCAGACAGAAGGAGTTTCTAAAACCCAGCTTGCAATAACACTGTGTATTTCTAATGGAACCTATATACACTTACACTATGCCGAATTCTGCTTAAGCAAAAGAACATTATCAGGTAGATCCAGATGCATAACAGCAAAATAGTAAGATCTGTAGCTAGCTAAAAGAAGGAGACATTCAGTATTAAATACTTTTTCTTATTTACTTTACTCATTCTGGGTAGAACTAGTTTTGTGATCAGCCCTCTTCTCTGTAGCATATTCTTTCTTAAGCACTATTTTATAAACCACCCACTTTCTCTAAGACTTATGGGAAAAACCTTAGCTATGTTGACAAACTTCCATTATCATAGCTTAATAATCTAAATGACTATGATGCAAGACAGACAGATGCATGTGCAACAGCAAAATGATTTATTACGACTCTCAATATTATCCCCATCACCATTAGCTGGCAGAGGGATCCCCAATCTATTGTACCAAGAGCTGTTGGATTACAAACCCCAGGGGCACTAAACACAGACAGTGCAGGTTTCCCAGGAAAAAAGTCTGTGTCTTGAGGCCAAGGAACTCAGGAAGACTCTTCAGTGACACCTTCAGTGTCAACTTGAGCTGGCAACACCTGTGCTGTGAAAAAGGGAAAAGTCCGCAGACAAAAAAATGCAAGGCTCATGACAGGGAACAGTTCTGGGGCAGATCCTCCTCGGAAGGTAAAGGCTTTGTCACTGAGGATTACACCTGAGGATGAATGCTATCCTAAGGGAGATTTAGGCTCTAGTGATTTGCAACGTGTTTATCAGCAATGTGACTCCCTAGGATTATGACTTGCCAACCAAGTGCAGGAAATAGGAACCAAGGAAGAGTTGGGCAGACTTTCTAGAAGTGCAAGGAAAGATGCACAGGGTACATCTATGGTGATATGAAGGACACAGAGAAGAAAAAAAAAGTCTTTAGAAAGGAAGCTTGCACTTAAAAAAAAATGTCAGGGGTGACTTAGTCTTCAATTTTTTATTTAGACCAAAGCTTCCATGACAGTTTTATTTTTTTTAATGTTCCCACTGCCACACAAAGGAACACTGAGGCAGAGTGACCATGCATAGCTAGAAAAAATGGTACAAGGTAGAAGGATTGAAAATCACTAGAAACTACAGGCATCTTTAAAAATAGAAAGATCCTATACCATAGGGATACCCTTTATAATAGACCACATGCAATGAAACTGCTGATGTTTAATTTTTTATTTTTTTAAAAAAGACAAATTTAACCTAAAAATTGCAGAAAAAACAACAACCCCATGGTCTGGGGTAATGTGTACCACAAGGATAAAGATGTAAAGCCTTTACATTTTCCTAAGTAAAGCACAGAACTGCATTCAGAGCACAAGAACAGTTTAACAGACCCCTCCAAACAAACAAACAAACAACGCATCTACTACAGTGGGTCATAGCTCAAAAAAGAGTTAAACTTCCTTACCTTTACATAAAGACAAAGTAATGGTGCAGCTAAAAAAGTAAAAATTTTTTCTATTGACAGGAATACATTTAAAGATGTCACATCAGATATCGTGTTTTATCACCTGTTAGGAAGGGCTGAGAACAGATCAAAAATAAATATTTGGATTATGGTTTGAAGGAATGATATCTTTTCGGAAGCGGAAGTTATGCTGAAAAGCATGAAATGGAAGCAGATGCAGTCACAAACTGTCATAATAAAACACAATAAAGCAGTCCAGAAATACAGCCTGGGGAAAACAACTTGCAGACAGCAAAAGAACTGAAACTCCTTTTTCTCAGTGTTGTGGTTTAACCCGGCCGGCAGCTAAGCACCACACATCAGTTCACTCACCCTCCCCCCGCCATGTCTGGGATGGGGGAGAGAAACAGGAAAATGAAGCCTGTTGGTTGAGGTAACGACAGTTTATTAAGAAAGGAAAATAATAATAATAATTAATAATAATAATAGTACTACTAATAATGTCTACAAACAAGTGATGCACAATGCAATTGCTCACCACCTGCTGACCGATGCCCAGCCTAACCCCAAGCAGCTGCCCCCCCGTCCCGGCTAGCCACCCCTGTATATTGTTCAGCATGACCCCAGATGGGATGGAATACCCCTTTGGCCAGTTTGGGTCAGCTGTCCTGGGTCTGTTCCCTCCCAGCTCCTACTGCACCCCCAGCCTGCCTGCTGGCAGGACAGAGCGAGAAGCTGAGACGTCCTTGGCTTGGTGTAAGCGCTGCTCTGCAACAATTAAAACATCGGGGTGTTATCAGCACTCTTCTTGTCCTAAGCCAAAACATAGCACCCTACCAGCTGCTAGGAGGAAAATTAACTCTATACTAGCTGAAACCAGGACACTCAGCCATATCAGGAACTGTGAGACTGTCAGAGAATTTGTAAGAGCAGCTGATGTTTAAAACAAAAGAAGGGCACCAAAAAAGTTATTTTTGTACTCATTTTATTTCAGACAAACTTGGAAAAGTTCCTGTGCCAAAAAATTACCTTTAAAATATTCTGTAATACAACTCCCATATACCAAAGTTTCTGTAGGATAATTACAGAAGGGATTAAGTCAACAGAATAAATAACAATAAATCACTAGACCATATGATAACCCCTCAAATGTGCAATTGAAAAAGCATAATAGCTGCGATGTTTTACCTCAGTACTACGGGACTGAAAGTTAACATACATGACAAATTTTTATACATGTTTCAGAAAGCATCAGTCCAACTTCTATTTCCAGGTATGCTAGTAGAAGCAATTCTGAAAGTCAAAATTAGCGTGTATGTGTGTGACAAATTTACATCTGACAAATGCTTTAGAATTATTTGGAAGAATCAATGGGCATGTGGACATGTGAAATTCACCTGATGTACTGTATCTGGATTTCCATAAACTGTTCTGTACAGACCTTGCCAAAGGCATGAGATGACAGGAACAGCTCTCCTCCAGAGAAGCAACTTACTAAAAAGCTGAAAGAACAGTAATAAATGTTCAGTTTCAGTTAGGCAAAAATCACCAACAGAGATCTCTGTCCAGCCTTGAGAAACAATATTTAATGAGTATTTGAAAAAGCCAGATGAATACTGAGATGGCAGATCTCTGACAATGCTTTTGTTCTGGGCAGTTTAATAATAATAATAATAATAATAATAATAATAATGCTCCTATAGAGTACCTGCAAGAGATAACAATGTTGTGGGAACAGACAAGGAAGCTGCAGATGATTTTCAGTGTACGTAATACAACAAACAAACAAGTCAGGGGTTGGGGGTGCAAATTTTTAATATTATACATCATATGATGGTCTCCAAGAGAACTGTTATCACCCAAAAAGATCTTAACAATAAGTAAGTCTAAAAGGTCAGCTCACTGCTCAAAAGCCAGACACGACATTTAGAAATATTCAGCAAATAATGAAGAAAAATAGGAGAAAAAAAATATATACCACAATAAACCTACGTTCATCCTGCATCGCAGAATCACATAATCAGAGTGGTTGAAGTTAGAAGGCATTTCTGGAGGTCATCTGGTACAAACCCCTGCTCAGGCAGGGAACATTTTGAATACAATGGACAGTGCAGGCCTCTACTCCTCAGAAACAATGGTACAGAAAACAATGGATGATATTAGGTACAAACCACCTACTGTACAAAACAGATTCTGCTTCTTCAACCACAGAGAGTGCAAAGAAGAGGAGACAGTTCTGTAGCTGTTGTGGAAATGGTATTATTCACCATCTTCTACAATAAAAGCCTTAATAGCCATCAAATTCAGTTACAAAATAGCAAGTTTAAACACACACACACACACCTCTCTTCACGCAGCACATGGATACACTAAAATTCACTTTCCCACCAAATATTGTGAACGTTATAATTTTGTCTAGCTTCACAAATCACATGGACAGAGGTAGATGTGCAAAGACATGGGTTCATGAAAGGTGTTACCCACAGGTCTCAACTGCTGGAAGAGTACTCCAAGACTACATCTTACAATGGACCAGAGACTGGATTCTTTTGATCAAGTACAACAGTCTTCTTAATAAATGGTACCAACATTTGCTTACTTCTTAACTACTGTATTTTAATTCAGATGCATTTTTTAACATAATAAATAAATAATAAAAATACAAAATAAAAATCAGCATGTGTTCATTTTATGTCATGATCTCTGGCATGTTAAAACTACAGTTGCAACTTCTCAGGTGGCCTGATTTTGTCCACAAAATGCCCTTCTCCTTAGGGCAAAATGCCAGATGTGCAGACAGTTTTTGCCTTTAAATTCAATACCTCATTGCTGCTTTCTAGCCTTTTGAATACACATGGAGTCCCTTATAATCCTCAGGCTTATTTACACAAAAAGAATTTAAGAATCATGGCAATGACCTTTAATCACTAGAACCTTCAGATCAAAATGCTGGTGCTGTGCATTTTCTTAAGATTTGTCAGATTTCCACATATATATAAATATACTTTCATGTCCAGTTCTCCAGCTAATTAGGTAAGAAATCTCTCTCAATCTATTATGAGAACTACTGCTGACATTTTATTCTAGGAATTTTTTAGCAAGATTTACTCACTGAGCCTGTCTCTTTACTTCCTTATGCTCCAACATTCTTGAGGTATTCCAAGGACAAATGCAATCAGAACTGTTAGAAGTGCCAGAATTACACTAATTCACTGCAGAGCATTTGTCTCCCAGAATTTACTCACATTTCTTTCACTGACGCCTAGGTTTTAGTAAGGTACATTAACAGTATCTCGAGGGTTCCCTGAGGCTGCCATAACTGCAATTACTATATACACCAAAGTGCCTATATACATATACAGGCACCAAACCTGAAAGCATAGTTCCACTTCATAAACTCAGCTCATAGAATGCCACACATTTGAACACACCAGAGAGCTCAGTGACTTAGTACAAAGCTGGGCACATAAGCTACCTGAGAGCTACCAATATCTGTTTTATCAAAGGAGTACAGCAATTGGGATAGACACATTTTTGATGTTAATTATGTAACATGTTTTGAAGAATCTCTATAACCATCCCTAATGGAATTTGTTGGATTGAAGAATTGCCCTTGTTAGATAACAAGTAATGTTCAGTCTGCTTAAGAGTTGTAACTGAGCCTACTTAAGAGTTGTAATTGCATCTTTACAGGAGTCTAAAGGCTTTCAACCTTTTCAAGATCAAATTAAACCTTTGTCTCCCTGCCCTGATTCTGATGTCTGAAAGCCTATTTGTGATGAGTAGTTTTCTTGCTACAGAGGAATCACAGTAGCCAGGCTACATGGCTAAATCAGGTCATAGAACTCAGGTCAAACTTACAGAGGACATTGGATAGCAGAACTTATAGCCACTGCCATTTTTAATCATAGTGTCATTGTGTATCATCATTTGTGTTCAGAGAGACAAAAAGTAGTAAGAAAAGATTACAAAAAAAAAAAAAAAAAAGCACAAATATAAGCCTATTTATTAATTAAAAAAAAAAAAAGTTCCAGAAGCATGCTTTATTAATTCTTTTTATAGTTAAGGAAATGAAATGTGAATGTTAAGAATAATACTGCCTAACCATCTGTCATTTTCATTACAGCAGTGTCAAAGGACAAAATCAAAGCCCAAAGAACACTAGATACTAGGCACATACATTGTCTTCTGTTCTTTAACAGGAGTAAGTTTCTTTAGTCAAGATCATAAATCATTAGCCTGTAAGTCAAGCCTGTGCTTTCAAAAACGAAGACATTTTGATTATAGCAGAACAACTTAACTATTGAAAAAGTTCTTGTTCATTTGCTACAGCTCGTATATTATCATCCTAGAGCCTCAGAGTACTTTAAAACATGCAGCCTTCCCTCTAGGTGTAACCAGCACTATGGCTACATGCAGATAACATACACATGTAAAAACATGCAACATATAGCTCAAGAATCACATATCTAAACCCTCTTCATAAGTATTTTTTACCTACACACATATAACTTTTGAGAATTCTGGTCTACTGGGCCACAAATAGAAAACTTTTGAAACAGATACTTATATCAAAAGTCAACCAACATAGCCTTACAGCCCTCAGTTACAGTTCTTCATGAGCCAGCCTTGGACCACTTCACCTGTCTTTAGTCAAACTCAACAGTGGTGAAGGTGTGTTTGTGGGCAGCTCTCCTAAGGGTGCCTTCTGCAGCTCAGATCACTTCAGTCCATGGATGTCAGGTTAGGGTCTAAAAAGTTATTTGTCTTGGGGGTTAAGATCTTTCTCAGATCCTCAGTGTTCCAGACATAGACCAGTGAAAGCTGCTGAGGAAAGAACGGCCCATGATCACATAGCTTTTCACTCCAAAATCTCTTCTTCGAGCTCTCTATTCTTCCTGCTAAGTCTCATCTGTTCTGTCAGCCAAGGCCCATGGTTAAGAGCAACTCACAGCTGCAACAGAAACAGCTTTAACAATCGTATTTCACCAACAGGGATTCTCTAGTAGCATTCCCAAGACACAACAGGGCACGCAGCATATCACAGGAGGGAGTTGGGTTCTTTAAAATTGCCATAGCTGATTTTCTTCCCTTTATTTCTAAAAGGAAATGAATGGATCAGTTTTTCTTCTATAAACATTCCAGGGCCGAGTAGTGTAATTAAAGAGCAAACCAACCATGCGGGCAAGGATTGCCTGCATTTCCCCAAGCACAGAGCGGCTTATGGAAAAGCTCTACAGACGAAAATCTTGGGCAAGCACGGGCACAGGACTCTTCCGTATTCCCCGGGTTAAACTGCATCCTACCTATTTCTGAGGCGGGCAGGCAGAGCGACTCACTCCCTATTAAAGAAACCGTAGCAGCAGCCGGCAGCGAGGAAAGGCAGAGGCCTGCCCTCCAAAGGTCGCAGGGAGCACAGCCGCAGCTCCTCCGGGCCGCGCCGCGAGCGGGCGTCCGCAGTGCGACCTGAGGGCCCCGGACCCGCCACAGGAGCCCGCGTGGAGCAGACGCTGCCCGGGCCCGCAGCCGCCAGGCGAGCAGCCCGCGGCAAGGGCCGGGCGGGGCGGGGCGGGGCACGGCCCGAGCGAGAGACCCGCCGCGGTGCCCCAGGGGCGGGGCGGGGCGGGGCGGGGCGGGGCCGTTCCGAGGCGGCCCGGCGGCCCCCGGAAGCTCCGCGGAGCGGCCCCAAGAGGGCGTGAGCAGGAAAAGCCTTTTTTGGGCCTCGGAAGCGCCTTAAAAGGCCCGGAGGAAACGCCAAATATGGTGGCCCGGTTCCGGCCGCCGCGAGAGTAGTGTTTCCGCTCGGCCTTGGCAGCCTCGCGGCCGCGTGACACGGCCCAACCCGCCGCCGGCGCGCTCCCGGCGCTGCGGCTCCGCCCCCCGGCCCGGCCCGGCCCGGCCCGGCCCCGGCGGCGGAGCAGCACAGCCGCGGAGGGGCCGCGCGGTGCCGTGCGGTGCCGTCCGAGGGCAGCTGGGCTGCTGCCAGCAGTGACGCACGTCCTTTCCTGTCGGTGGTGGTCAGATCCGAAGCCATGCTTTAAATCACAAACAGCTGAGGTTTAAATCAGCCGAATGGATTTTCTGCCATCAACTGGAAAAGCAAGAGGGCGTTTGTTGTCCCCAGGGTGCTTCATGCACAGCTCTGGGCCTTACCAGCGTCGGAGGGGGTGGGTTCCCCAGCCGCTGGCAACACCTGCCGTTTCCTGGTGTCCAACCTCCTTGAGACGCCCATCTAGCAGTGCTGTGGCCTCCTCGAAGGAAGCTTCTCCTGCTCCTAATTAGCAGACGCAGCACACTTCTTAAGAATCAGAAATACTGTCTTTTTCAGAACACCATAAATCAGTAAGACCTCACAGAAAACATACCGAAACTCTGAAATCTGCTTTCATTTTGGCGAATAAAGGCCTCAAAAAGAGCAGGAGCAAAAGCCCATGCATATTCTTCCCTTTATGTTATACATACAGATGGACAATGTAAAGCAAAAGATGCAGCAATTTAGACCAAATGCCAGAGCTTAAATTATGAGCACTTTCTAAGCAGTTACACCGAAGGGTATCAGCATGAAAGACATCCTGGCTGGCGTATGTCAATTTTTTTTTTTTTAACAAAATACTGTGTTTTGTTGTTGTTGTTTTCTAAAACAGCGACGACATTGTACCAGGGAGCTTCCTGCAATTAGATGCAATTCAAACAAGTGACACCCCAATTAGACGGGAAGTGTCATCTGCCAGTTCACAGGCAGGATACAGTGCATGTTTACTGTTCCCGCAGGACACTGCTGGCTTGCACCACTTGACTGTACTGCTTTCCGAGTTAGGGTTAGCATGAGGCCAATAGTAACCTTACATACCCTCTTCAGTGCCTCTGAGCATCCCGTCCCTGTGACTGGACACTGCTAGATGGGGTTAGTGGCTGTGGTTAGTGTCCACATCTGTGGGAGGCCAGAATTCTTTCAGCTAAGGGATGCCTGCAGCACTCTCAAGAGAATGCCTAAGGCTGAGGGGGAAGGAGGGGACAACACAGCAGATCGGGGCAGATTTCTGGAGGTGTCGTCAAGTTGAAAGGATCTACCATCACAAAGTGGAGAAAGCATGGGTCAAGGGGGACTAAGATTTCTTTCAACTAGAGAGGAGACTTGCAGACCCCTCCTTCTCCTTTGCACCATGCCTTGGCACCTGCAAGCTATTCCTGCTTGTAGTGGTGTCCACCAGGATATCATGGTCATGGTCTGCTGCTAGAGGGGTTCTTTTGGCTTTCATAACCTTGCAACACTGCCTGACTCAAGGCACTTTGCATAAAACACAGCAAAGAGCAAAAGAGCAGCTATCTTCTTTGCTGCCTTTTTAGGCTTGTTAATTACCATCAGTGCCCATTTCTGAATGAAGTGCTCTGGAGAACCTGAGTCACACTCAAGCTCATCAGACACTGCTTGAGAGCCTGCCTGGTCAGTTTTTTAGCACAATCTTAATTCCAGCAGGCTAGATCAGGAGTTAACAAAACAGCAACACCAGAGCCAAGCTGTGCCCATGGATCAAAAGGGCTGACTTCAACTGTTTAGGAATTGGAGTTGGGAGAAAGTTTTGTATTGAAATTTATATAATGTTTTCTTCCTTCTTAGAAGCATCACATTCAAAAGCACTTCTTCACTGTCTCATCTCATATAAATGAGTTTCTCTAGCCTCTGACATGGGTTACATGCTCAGACAGTGTGAAGCCCCACATTCTCCCCAGTCAGTCAGCCTAGGCAGCAGACTCTTGAAATGAAAAGAGCTAATGCTTTTCTCTGAAAAGGCACAGAAAACCACACAAACTGGAGGGCCAACTGCAAGGTCACTGCCAACTGCAGCTCCCAGCACTGCAGGCACAAACCAACACAGAGACAGAGCGGCACAGGCCCTTCCTCACAGCTTGTTCCAACCCGCTGAGGAGAGTCATACCTGAGAGAAGACGGACTGGGATATACCAACTATTCTGCTTTCAGGTACCTTCAAGAGCTGCTTCTATTTGCCAGGGGTGGTCTGTATCCCCCAAAAAGAAGAACTAGGTGAAGGTGCTTCAGAAGGTTGCCCTTCCTAATCAGTAGGCTGAATTTTGGCAAACAGTAGGGCATGAAATCTCCTACAGAGACTGCTTACCAGTTCACATTATGTTAGGTATGTTCATTAAGGCCTGTATTTGCATCGCAGCCAGCTCCTCATGACTATAAATATTAGTAGTTTGTAGAGAAACCACCAGGAAAGACTGGCACTGGAACCCTCTTTTGTACCTGAACTGCCACTCCTCACAACAGCAAACTCCTTTGAATTCACTACATAGAGAGTTCACACACACTCTAAAATGTATTTTAAACCACTAAGTAAGGAGGCCTGTAAATGCTAAAACATTTGTTCTAAAGGATATCCAGCAAGTGTATTTTACATCCTATGTTGTTTAACTTATGTGAGGAACTTATAACAGTCCTCAGCTGTTCAGAGCTACCTCACATAGACATTTGGACTGATCTTATTTTACAATAGAGAAACTACTTTATTACCTTGCCTTTCCTCTCTTGGCACCCAGAAGGCTTTCTGACTACCTACGAGCACGTAGTTGAGATCTAAATTTTGAACCTCAGCTTCAGCACTGAGAAAATTGTTTTTCTTTCTAGGATTAGCTCACATGCTTCTGGAGAAGCCTGGAGACAGAAAAATATAGGAATCGTGATGACTTCAAAACAGCAGGTGATGCATCTAATACAGGGACATGTGCTACATCCATGCCATTGACAACTACTGGACTCAGAAATGATTGATCTCCCCTCTTTTCTTCAAACAGATAATTCTCTAAGAGAAGAGAAGCAGCTGTCACTTCCCATCAACTCAAGCAGCTGGTTGCTGCAGCACACTCTTCCTGCGTAGCAGCTTAAAGGAAAATATGAAAGCTTCCATGATTTGATATTTATTTATTTATTTTTTCTGAAGGGTATTGTACACCAAATATCCCATTGGCAGGAAAGCGCATTCAATGTGTTTAGAAGCCAAACAGTCACTTTCATTTTAACAACCACAATTACAAAGTAAAAATAAAACACAAAATAATGAACCACATGTTCATAACATACAAAAATTGCTGCCTACTCAGTAGGTAACTACAACATTCCAACTCCTGAATATATATATATTTATAAATTTACATTCTTGTAACAAAAATAGACTTTGAGAGTTGTTGTTCCCCTCCCCCCCCCCCCCCTTACATTCTGTCTCCCAGGGCATTCTCGTCCTCCCCTCCCCACCTATTCCCTGCTCTCCCTTACATTCTTTGCGTAGCATCCCTTTCACTTTAAGGCAAGATGCAAAGCATCCATTCACACAAATGCATGACGTCAGCAAGGCTTCACAAAAAGGCACCAAGACTTGTAACTCTAAAAACAAAACTTCTGCCACATGTGAGTGTCTCATCAGGTGATTTTTACATAGCATCACTCTTACATGCTCAAATACAGTAAGTGCTGTTCCCAAAGAAGTTTTAAATTCATTACAGCATTGTCACTAAAATAGAGTCAACATTTACAAAATATGGCCCTGCAAACTCCAAATAATACAATATGGATATGCAAAGATTTTTCACATCAATAGTACCTAAAGGAAAGCAAAACCATGGCACATGTACAAGTTACATCAGCTATGTACTTAATCAAAGGTCCCTTCTTCATAATAAAATACTATTGTTTACGGGGAAAATTATACTGAACTTATATCCACAGTCCATGCAAATTAAGTCATTCAACAGAGGTGGAAAACTTAAACAGCAGTTGTTTCAGGCAGCTGAAGTTTGAAGAAATGGTAGATAGCCTTGCAACATATAGGGTTGGAGGAGTAATTGGAGACTCCATGTCTCATAGTACCAATGGAAGAGGTAAATGCTCCTGCTCCAGAAGGTGATCTCAGCAAATCTCAATTGTCCTTGGAGAAAAGGTTGATGTCATGTCTGAAAGAGCTGATGTCACCTGAGAGCTGAAATTATTGGTGATCCCTGGAGATGGGAAGGAAGTGGCCACTTGGGTCTGAAAAGTGACAGTGCCAGAGGGGTAAGTGGTTGCTATAGATGGAGATGGGAATGTTGTGTGTGCAGGGGAGGGATAGGAAGATGGGGCAGGGGAAGAATACACTGTGCGCACTGGTGAGGGGTAAGTGGTGGCAATGGAGGAAGGGTAGGATGTAGCCACAGAGGATGAGTAGGCAGCAACTGGAGAAGTAGTTGAGACCGGAGCTGCCTTTTCCACTTTCTTGTCCTTCTGCCTAAGGTGGATTTTAGTGTGTCTCTTCCTCTCGTCACTTCTGGCAAACTTTCTGCCACAAATGTCACAGGCAAATGGCTTCTCTCCTGTGTGCGTGCGGATGTGAGTGGTCAAGTGATCGCTCCTGCTGAAGTTCCGCATGCAAATGCGGCACTGGAAAGGTTTCTGTCCTGTATGGATGCGAATATGACGAGTTAGCTCATCAGACCGTGAAAACCTTCGGTCACAGGACTCCACTGGGCAGGCATAGGGCCGTTCATGAGGAGGTGTCTTGCTGGGGCGGTTGGGGTATTTCCTCATTCTGCTGGGCTTGATCAGCTGGGACTGATAGTTAGTGTTAAGGGTCTTCAACTCTTGGGAGCCAGTCTGTGTGGCAAATGCCTTGATAGTGGACAGCGGCGTGAGGGAAGGCTGCTGTGCTCTGTTCTCAAGGGCTGGAAAGGGCTTCTGATCAGCTGGGATAAGGCTGAGCTCACCCTGTTGCTGAGGGAACAGGTAATCCGGAATCATTGGCACCTGAAAGTTGGTTTTAGCAGTTGGATAAGCTGGAGGTGGATACTGCATGGGAGCTCCAGAGGGGTTGGG